TGAAATTAATTAATAAACTTTAATACTTGCGTCACATTTTACAATTTAATTAACTAGTTAGAAGAAAAAGTTAACTTGTGTAATTAAACCAACTACTTGGTTTTTGTCTTGTTATTCTTACACTTGATTAATCACTATATAGAATAAAAGATCATCCTCATTAAACACATTGTTTTACTATATATTTATGTGCCAAAAATATATATTATAACTTGTTTTGGAAGATTCTATGTTTTCGTTGCTAATGCATTAGCAATTTGGCTGCACGCGTGATAAAGCTTTCAAAGTTCCATTTTGTATTGGTCAGCTTTTCCATTATGCCAAACAATTTGTCCATAACAGCACAACAAGGCTATAATTTCTTATTACCTACAAGAAAGAGGTGCTACGAGATTTCAGTTGTAAACTGAAAAACTAATTTTTAAGTCAACGTTAACATGCCTATATAAACACCACAAACAATCCTCAATACCACTCCACAGCACACTTCCCTCATCAACAAACAAGAACAAGCTAGCATGATTGCAAAAAATCAATTCTATCATATTTCATTGACATTGCTTTTCTGCATGGGATTCTCGGATTTCCGAGTCACATGTCGCACCCTCCAAGATGTCTCCATGTATGAGAGGCATGAAAAGTGGATGACCGGTTATGGCATAGTGTATAAGGACCATGAGGAAAGGGAAAAGCGTTTCAGAATATTCAAAGAAAATGTGAATTACATTGAAGCCTCCAACAATGCTGCCAATAAATCTTACCTACTAGGCACTAATCAATTTGCAGACCTCACCAACGAGGAGTTCATAGCACGCAGAAATAGGTTCAAGAGGCACATGTTTTCCTCAATCATAAGGTCAACCACTTTCAAGTATGAAAATGTGACTGCAATTCCTTCTACAGTGGACTGGAGGCAAAAGGGTGCAGTTACACCCGTCAAGAACCAAGGTCATTGTGGTAAGCACATGCTTCATTCTTCATTCGCATTTCCAACTCAAATTATAAACTCCATCGTTATCTAACTATTAATTTATCTTGTAGCATGTTGTTGGGCGTTTTCCGCGGTTGCAGCAACTGAAGGAATTCATGCACTCACTACTGGGAAACTGATCTCTTTATCTGAACAAGAACTTGTTGATTGTGACACAAATGGTGTGGACGAGGGTTGTGAAGGTGGTTTTATGGATGATGCTTTCAAATTCATTATTAAAAATCATGGACTCAACACAGAAGCCAATTACCCCTACAAGGGTGTTGATGGAAAATGCAATGCAAAGGCAGAAGCCATCGATTCTGCAACCATTACTGGCTACGAAGATGTCCCTGTTAACAATGAGAACGCCCTTCAGAAAGCGGTTGCCCATCAACCAGTTTCTGTAGCCATTGATTCCAGTGGCTTTGACTTTCAATTTTACATGAGTGGTGTCTTCACTGGTTATTGTGGAACTGAACCAGATCACGGTGTGACTGCTGTGGGATATGGCGTTAGTGATGATGGGAGCAAGTATTGGTTAGTTAAGAACTCATGGGGAACAGAGTGGGGTGAAGAAGGCTACATTAGGATCCAAAGAGGTGTGGCTGCTCAAGAAGGACTATGTGGCATAGCTATGACGGCATCTTATCCTACTGCATAATTATAAAATTTGTACATTATTTCTAAACTGTGTTCTTTTGTGACATAACAGTCTATTCTCTTACTATTTGGACATATAACCAATGATGAAATGAAAATTTTGTCTTGTGATTAAATGTTTCGGGTGTGAGATAAAAGTCAATGGTCCAATTATCACATGTGTTATCAGTGGTATGAATGCTCGTCCTTACGTTACCAATCTTCCTTGTTGTTTGTATGTTATGCTTGGAGGTTACCTTCAAAAGGTACTTTAATGGCAAAGTCAATAAAGATTCAACAGCTTAAAGTATTAAGTGTATATTAAATGTAATCACTTATCTCTTTACCTCAAACCTATATTTATAGATTTCGGAATAGACTTTTAATTACTGACGGTCTAATTACGAATCAACTAATAATAATCATATTTTGTCTTAAATTGATCAATGTTAGAGGAAATGTATCTCTGTAAGCTAATGATTCGGCCTATTGGTTGTAATTGCACAGATGTGGGAGTAGTCTATGGTCATGTTCGTGGCACGGTTGACCGTCTAGACCGTTTCGTCCACAATTGACCGGACAATCATACGGTACAAGCCCTCTTGATCGGCGTTAGGGATTCCTAACAATATCACTTGTAAGGGAACAATTTGCCTCTTATTTCATTGGAGAATTAATGGAATTTTTACCCGAAAGTCCTACATTTAGTGTTGAAAGTCCCAGATCGACTAGAGATAAGGCCAATTTATAATATATAAGTAAAGTGCAAACCTCACCTTACAAGCCGTTTTTGTGGGGTTAAGTCAAGCTTAAAGTCAACTTCTTAACATAGTATCATAGTCATGGTTAAAGCCTATCCTAGCGATATTTCTTGTCTTTTAGGCATTTCTACTCCACCCGCTATCCGGCGTTATCGGACCACCCAATTTCTACTATAGTTTTGTGGGGTTGAGTTTTCTAATATCTAGAACCAACAAATACAACTTAGGATTTGTCGTGGGTTACCATGGAGGCATACCACACCTTTTGACGGGTATACCATTTTCATTCGTTTGAATCAGTGTCCCTGTTTCAAATACATTATTAACAGAAAATGGAGAAACTTGCCCCATTCTAGTGATTATGGTCGAAACAACATTGACCTTAATACTTTTTTTCTCACAAGATGGAATGTAGAGAGGTGCCAAAGAACCCAAAATTGTTATACATCTGGAGATATATCAGAACACTTGTCCAGGATCTCAAAAATCTCTCACAACCTTTTAGTTAAGGAAGACAACATAAATGCATTCACAAAAGTTATTTCCAGTTCTGTCAAGAAAAAGTTAAAAATCGTAACTAAAAATACTTAAACAGCTAATGTGAAAGGAGCCATGCACCAATGAGAGAGCGCATATGGTGGTGTCTAAGAGGACTTTCTTCAGAATAACTGTAACACGTTATGCGAATCCACCCTCTGTTTCTATGATAAAGAAGTTCTGATGTTGAAACTCATTCAAGATTGTAAGCATCGGAGACATCATTAATGCAAATGTCATGCACTATTGCTAAGAGATAAGAAGAGAATCAACATTGAATACATGATCACATTATGACGCTCTACGAACAAATTACTCTTTCTTTTTCATAGATCACAGTTTTGGACTTGTTTATCTATTACAACACATGCTATGTCTCTCCTTTGCTCCTGCGACAGCTATCTCGTATCCATCCTTCACCAATAATTTTAGTAACCAATTAATGAATATCCTTTTATCTATATATACTAATGGCCTAAACATTTAGGACCAACGCAAATCGTTCACATCCCAAAGCATTCTAAATTCAAGAGCTTATTCTCAATCCTTTTCTCAAACCGTTCTGTTCTCATATCAATACAACAATGGTTTTTCGTTTACCTGGAATCAGAAAGGCAATATCTGTAGGAAATCAAGCATCTTCAAAAGCATTTGATGCACAAAAGGGCTATCTTGCGGTGTACGTGGGAGAGAAAATGAAGCGATTTGTGATCCCTGTATCATACTGAACAAACCTTCCTTCCAAGACTTGTTGAGTAAAGCAGAGGAAGAGTTTGGATATGATCATCCAATGGGTGGCCTCACAATTCCTTGCAGTGAAGATGTCTTCCAACATATAACTTCTTGCTTCAATGGACAATAAATGTCATTACTTTAGGGATCTAACGTAGATTAGTAGAGACATTTTTGTACAATAGGCTTCTTAACTTGTAAAGATCTCCCTTTTGTGAGAAAGAATGATATTTTTTGAGCAAAGAAAGTGAACTACTCAGTATTTTTAGTTTACCAATTTCAATGTTCACTTCTTTCTGCATGAACAAGGTTAAGTCCTGTTCTAAAACTAGACTTTGTTCTGTGAAATTTCAAAGCAGGAATAGATCACATGATTTCTAGAACGGTAGAACGAAAAGGTTTTCACTGGGACCAAAGAGGAAACAAATTTAATTGGGAAGTTTAGGTTATTAATAAAACTATACGTAGGAAAGAAAAATTTTGAGAAGCTAGGGCCTTAACAAAAGAGGTTGATCATCTGCTCAAATGGGTGTGGTTGCAACATAAAGTTAGACTTTTGCTTCAATTAACTTGGCCTACTATGAAATAGTAGCTTTAGTATATACCACCACAAATGGTATGGCTCATTATCTATAACACTGTCGAGATAAGTCAAAGAACGTGTTCTTTTCAATAATCTACTGAGGGACTAAGGATCACATGGTGTTGTCTCACAGGTCTCTCTCAAGGATTAGGAAGTTCACTGCTAGTTCATATTCACCTTTTGAGATTGTGGCCAACAAATTACGCACCTGAGAATTTGTTGTTTTTTCATGCATTGTGATCAATATAGCTTATCCAGTGGTTGACACACGCTTCTCCAAATAATTAAGATGACAGTTGTATAGATATAAAATGTACCAATAATATCAGTGACAGATAGTGTTGATCAGTAAATCTTAAGCAGACCAGATTGACAGCTCTAAGTGTTTGGAGGTAAGAAGAGAACCAATGTTCATGATAAACTTTGGTCCACATTGTTTATGTACGGAAATTCTAACTCACTACCCCACTTCATAATCTTCAACATGATCAACTTTCAATTTTCTTTCACATATCCTTCTTTTTAAATGAGGAGACATTTTGGCCTTCACTAGAGAAAGAGGGACACTGTTATCTTAACTACTATCACATGGTACGCTGATTCATGAGACAGTGCTCAAACACAATACCATATTCCCTTGTCTCTCAGTTGGTCCCATTATTCTGTAGCAACCTTCACCAATAATTCTTCTAGGCAATGGCTTTGCTACATATCTTTTGCCTATAAATATTCAGGCCTTCAAGCATTTAGAATCACCACAAGCCATTCACATCCTGTAAACCCTTCAAAACTCAAAAGGCTTATTCTCAAGACTTCTCTCAAAACAACACCACAATGGGTTTTCGTCTACCTGGCATCAGAAAGGCACTATATGCAGCAAATCAAGCATCTTCAAAAGCGGTGGATGCCCCAAAGGGCTATCTCGCAGTCTATGTCGGGGAGAAAATGAAGCGATTTGTGATCCCAGTATCATACTTGAACCAACCTCTATTCCAAGACTTGTTGAGTCAAGGTGAGGAAGAATTTGGATATTACCATCCAATGGGTGGTCTCACAATTCCTTGCAACGAAGATGTCTTCCAACGCATAACTTCTGGCTTGAATTCAAAATAAATCGCACACCTTTGGAGAATAAGGTCCATCAGTGAAGACATTTTGTGCATTGGCCGTCAAAATTCATATTATATAGACTGAGTCTAACGTGATAATTCATTTTGTACAACGTTCTGTAAAGAGTTACACATTCTTTATTAGGAAAATCAGTTTTCTCTCCAAGGATGCCTTTTGTTTGTACTATATATATATATATATATATATAACTGTGATTTACTTTTCATTAGTAGTTGACTGATAACATTTTAGTTACAATGCTGTGTTGGTGGAAAGGATACAACGATACGCACGACCTATAACAGGAATGAGTTCTTAAAAAGGATACATAGAATTGTACATATTATAACAGGGTCCAACTTTTTTAATTATGCAGTAGGGTAAGAAGCTTGCATAGCTATGCCACATAGTCCTTCCTGAGAAGCCACACCTCTCTGCATCCTAATGTAGCCTTCTTCACCCCACTCTGTTCCCCATGAGTTCTTTACAAGCCAATACTCAGTTCCATCATCACTAACGCCATATCCAACAGCTGTGACACCGTGATCTAATTCAGTTCCACATGACCCAGTGAACACACCACTCTCGTAAAGTTGAAAGTCATAGCCGCTTGCATCGATGGCTACAGATACCGGTTGATTGGCCACAGCCTTCTGCAGTGCCTTCTCATTGTTGGCAGGAACATCCTCGTACCCAGTAATGGTAGCAGCATGTTTGACTGCTGCATTCGCATTGCATTGTCCGTCAACACCCTGATAAGGGTAATTGGCTTCGGTGTTGAGTCCGTGATTTTGGATGACGAATTTGAAAGCATCATCCATAAGGCCACCTTCACAACCCTGGTCCACACCCTTTATGTCACAATCAACAAGTTCTTGTTCCGACAAAGAGATCAATTTTCCAGCAGTGAGTGCATGAATTCCTTCAGTTGCGGCAACTGCAGAAAAGGCCCAACAACATCCTACATTGCAAGGGAAATGATTAGTTAGATACTACATCTTTTGAATTTCATGTGGTAAATAAATAATGAAGCACTTACCACATTGGCCTTGGTCCTTGACTGGTGTAACTGCACCTTTTTGTCTCCAATCCACTGAGGATGGAACTGCAGTCATATTTTCGTACTTAAACGAGGTTGTCCTTGTGATAGAGGAACACATGTGACCCTTGAACCTATTTCTTGTTGCTATGAACTCCTCATTGGTGAGGTCTGCAAATTGATTAACACCGAGCTTGTAAGGTTTATTGCCAGCATTGTTGAAGGCTTCAATGTAGTTTACATTTTCTTCGAATATTTTTGAACGCTTCTCCTTTTCCTGTGGGTCTTTATACACTTTGCCATGACGAGTCATCCATTCCTCATACCTCTCATGCATGGACACATCTTGGAGAGTGCGAGATGTGACTTGAAAAGTCCAGAATGCCATGCAGAAAAGCAATGTCAAAGAGATGTGATAACATTGTGTTTTGGTAGCCATGGTAGCTGGCGTATTGTTACAAGTGTTTGATGTTGGTGAGTGAAATATGTAAAAGATGCTATATTTATACTAAATTATCTTTGAATCCTAAATTAACCTTCTGTATTTTCAATTCAAATCGGAAAGCACATTTCCTTAATATACCAATGAAATAGTTTTCGAAAGATGCCTTCTTTGTTGGTATTGTAAAAGTTTGGATTGGAACTATAAAAACGAAGGTTTGAAAATTGTTTTGTTTTATGTGCATGCATATGTATTGCTATGACGCAGAACCAAATAAAGTAGCAGTATGCTTCCTTCCAGCCTTCCAAATTCAATATAATATAATATAGTATAGATTAAATTATTTTTCTTATCTTTATGCTTGTTCTTGTTTCTTAGTGTTCTTCCAAATATCAATAAGTTTAGTCTGTGTATGCCTTTTGTAGCCGTTTCTTACTGTTAGATTTCTTATAGCAGTTTTATAATGATACAGAATTTTAAAAACTGATAAACCATCAACTGGCATATATGTTTACTTTAATCTTTTTGAAGTTATCGTTTGTATGGATGGATGGGATATCCATTTAGTAAAACAATGGATTTGGTTATATTTTTATGAAATGAATCAAATTGGGTATATTCGTTAATTAAATTTTTACTAAATTAAAGTGCGTTAGTAAATTTTTTTTAAAATCAATTCATTATCATCTAAAATAAAATGTATATAATTCATTTGTTTCTTAATTTATACTAAGTTTAGCATAGTTAAACGTTAAAACCAAAAACAACATAATTTATATTTTAAGAAACTAAAATGAGAAAAGAAATTGAAGACTGTACTAAAATCAATATACATAGAAAGACTAACACGAGAAGATTACGATCGTGAGTCTCTTTGATGATCCTACAGTGTTTGGCCGAGCACTTGAAAGGAGAAATATCGATAGCGTCTTTAAACACATTCTGTCGTGATGCATAAACAATATAATAAATGTAGCAAAAAAGTGAACAGTAATATTACTAATGGATTAATGAGTCTAGATTAACTTAGGTCCGATTATTAATGTTATTCATATTATTAAGATAATCTCATTTTAGTCGGGAAAACCTAGACGGTATCAGTTCTCATGAACGCTATCATCTCGGTTTCTTCGATACATGAACATTTAGTTACTAGAGCAAAACTCTCTTAATTAAACCTATTACTTGGTTAGTTTGTTTTCATGTTATGATGCTGATCATCACGTACACTTTTCTTAATTTAGTCATTTGTGTTCTATTTATTATCGACTAAATATATTATTAAAATTACTAAATATCATACTATATTTATTTGATTTGGAAAAATGCGACTTTTATATGGTTATGGTGTAGCAATTTGCGTGCACGAAGTTAATAAAGTTTTCATACTTCTTTTATAATTCTAAACTTTCCCAATACGCACATTATCTTTGACAAGCACTTTGGCACCATACATCGCACCATTTATACGTTACGTTTGACAAGTGATTTGTCCACACTGCCAATATCCACTAGCAAGGATCTCATTCAGAAAAATCTCAGCTACATACACTAAAGAGGAGCTTTCAGATTTAAGTTGGAAACTAAAACAAACTAATTTAGAATTCAACGCTAATATGCCTATATAAACACCAAAAACAATCCTGAATAGCACACCACAACACATCTTTCAAACATTTCACTGACCAGCCTAAAAGTAGTTATTCCAATTGTCTGTCACACTACAGGAGCCACCATGGTTGCAAAAAATCAGTTCTATCATATTTCACTAGCATTGCTTTTCTGCATGGGATTCTTGGCTTTTCAAGTCTCGTGTCGCAGCCTCCAAGATGCCACCATGTATGAGAGGCATGAGGAATGGATGGCTCGTTATGGCAAATGGTACAAGGACCCTCAAGAAAGGGAAAAGCGTTTCAGGATATTCAAGGAAAATGTGAATTACATTGAAGCCTTCAACAGTGCTGCCAATAAACCTTATAAGTTAGCCATCAATCAATTTGCAGACCTCACCAACGAGGAGTTCATAGCTTCAAGAAATAGATTCAAGGGGCACATGTGTTCCTCAATCATAAGGTCAACCACTTTTAAGTATGAAAATGTGACTGCAGTACCATCCACTGTAGACTGGAGGCAAAAGGGTGCAGTGACACCCGTCAAGGACCAAGGCCAGTGTGGTACGTGCTTCATTACTCATTCACATTCCTGAGTAAAATTAAATTGCTTGATGATCTAACTATTAATAATTTACCTTGTGTAGGATGCTGCTGGGCTTTTTCTGCTGTTGCAGCAACTGAAGGAATTCACAAACTGAGTACTGGAAAATTGATCTCTTTGTCAGAACAAGAACTTGTTGATTGTGACATAAAGGGGGTGGACCAAGGTTGTGCGGGTGGTCTTATGGATGATGCTTTCAAATTCATCATTAAAAATCATGGACTCAACACCGAAGCCAATTACCCCTATAAGGGTGTTGATGGAAAATGCAATGCAAATGCAGCAGCCAATGCTGCTAGCATTACTGGGTACGAGGATGTCCCTGCAAACAGTGAGAAGGCACTGCAAAAGGCTGTGGCCAATCAACCAGTTTCTGTTGCCATTGATGCCAGTGGCTCTGACTTTCAGTTTTACAAGAGTGGTGTCTTCACCGGTTCATGTGGAACTGAGTTGGACCACGGTGTGACTGCTGTGGGATATGGTCTCAGTGATGATGGAAGTGAGTATTGGTTGGTTAAGAACTCATGGGGAACAGAGTGGGGTGAAGAAGGTTACATTAGGATGCAGAGAGGTGTGGCTGCTCAAGAAGGACTCTGTGGCATAGCTATGATGGCATCTTACCCTACTGCATAATTATCAAATTTGTACACTACTATTTGTATTTCTAAACTGTGTTATGTTGTGTATAACAGTGTATTTCTCATGAATCATTGTATTTGGAAATATTATTAATGATGAAATGAAAAATTTGTCTTGTGACTAAACATGTTCTGATGGTTCATAGTTTATATTTTGCAATTCATCAGCTCCTACTGTATCCCAAGTTATGGGTCCACTACAACCTTCGTCTGTTCTTGGAACTCCAGTTACCAACATGTCTTTTGACGTCTTGGAACCATATCGCTGAGCCACCAGCAAATGTGCCAAATGTTTTGTTTTACATTTTTCTTTTTGTTATTAAAATATGTAATCATTATTGAGGAAGGCTCTATTTTCATAGGAAGTTCTTGGGTTTGTTAGACGACATGGGATTGACCGGAGCGACACACACTGTTCCTCTTAACTGTTGCTATAGCAGTGGCCAAGGCAAGCCAAATAAAGATTGGAATACTCCTTTTTTAATTTGAACTCGATTCTCTTGAAGTTAACATAATGGCTTAATCACGAGATATTTGACACGAACTTATTGTAAAACTTAAAGAATGAAGTTTTGGATAATGGGGGCACAGGCACTTCTTCAGTTTTGATTGAACTAAAACTTTACACTTTGTCGAATTGACGACAATGAAATTCATGTGATAATGAGAAAGAAGTATGACAAACATGCATGAGACACTTTGATATTTTTTTTTAATTTACCGTTGTTAAAAGACGGTGACAATCGTTTCCTTAATATGTGCAACATACTACGTACTTATCTGTCTGACCTACTAAATGATTAAACATGTCATATAGATGTGGTCAACCTCAAATTATAAAATTAACCATAAAAATTTAATAAAATCTTAATTAAAATTACTAAATTCATTAAGGATTTAAAACTTAATTAAGCCTAATCTAAATTTTAGACCTTTTGTCCAAAGTTGAGGGCTGTTTATTGCAGTTAGTCCTAAGATCCTAATGATTTTAGACGACTCATAGTGGATAGATCAAGTTACTGGTACTGTAATACTTAATGAAAACCTCTAAATGAACTGCATTCGTCTACTCGGCATTAAGAAACATTCCTCATTATTAAAGTCTGAGTACAGTATTACATTAGTCATAATACNTTTGCAATTCATCAGCTCCTACTGTATCCCAAGTTATGGGTCCACTACAACCTTCGTCTGTTCTTGGAACTCCAGTTACCAACATGTCTTTTGACGTCTTGGAACCATATCGCTGAGCCACCAGCAAATGTGCCAAATGTTTTGTTTTACATTTTTCTTTTTGTTATTAAAATATGTAATCATTATTGAGGAAGGCTCTATTTTCATAGGAAGTTCTTGGGTTTGTTAGACGACATGGGATTGACCGGAGCGACACACACTGTTCCTCTTAACTGTTGCTATAGCAGTGGCCAAGGCAAGCCAAATAAAGATTGGAATACTCCTTTTTTAATTTGAACTCGATTCTCTTGAAGTTAACATAATGGCTTAATCACGAGATATTTGACACGAACTTATTGTAAAACTTAAAGAATGAAGTTTTGGATAATGGGGGCACAGGCACTTCTTCAGTTTTGATTGAACTAAAACTTTACACTTTGTCGAATTGACGACAATGAAATTCATGTGATAATGAGAAAGAAGTATGACAAACATGCATGAGACACTTTGATATTTTTTTTTAATTTACCGTTGTTAAAAGACGGTGACAATCGTTTCCTTAATATGTGCAACATACTACGTACTTATCTGTCTGACCTACTAAATGATTAAACATGTCATATAGATGTGGTCAACCTCAAATTATAAAATTAACCATAAAAATTTAATAAAATCTTAATTAAAATTACTAAATTCATTAAGGATTTAAAACTTAATTAAGCCTAATCTAAATTTTAGACCTTTTGTCCAAAGTTGAGGGCTGTTTATTGCAGTTAGTCCTAAGATCCTAATGATTTTAGACGACTCATAGTGGATAGATCAAGTTACTGGTACTGTAATACTTAATGAAAACCTCTAAATGAACTGCATTCGTCTACTCGGCATTAAGAAACATTCCTCATTATTAAAGTCTGAGTACAGTATTACATTAGTCATAATACATACTTGCATAGCAGCACTCAACCATAATAACAAAACTCAAATCAACATTATAGTTTAAGCACTCCGTAGAAAGGAATAGGCTCAAGAAAGGGTCATGTTCTAACTGGTAGACTGACGCAACTCAGGACGGACAAAGTCTGCATCTGGTGGCACTGAAATGTCCACTGTAGGTCTCAATTGAGCACAAAGTTCAATGGCTCCATGGACTTGGTCTGACAGGAAGTTGCTGATTAGGTCTTGGTTGATAGGTGCTCCATTGTCCACAGCCACCAAGGCCTGCTGGGTTAGGATGTAATCAAATCGGGGAGCCCATTTCCTTGAACCCAGCCTTGCTGTGGTTGAACAGTTATCAACCATGAAAGAAACACCGCGAGCATGCATGAAAGGATTCAAAGAGTCAACAGACTCAATCACACTCTCGTTAATGATTTCAGAGTAAGAATGTCCCTTCTTCCTCAAGATCTCAATCTGGAATTTCGTAACCATAAATTTAAAAAGCAAAATAAAATGTCAACTCTATGTTTTAATGCTACCCGAGTTAAGATAAACAAGAAAAATTAGAATAAATATCGAAATTCATAGGAAAAATTCCATCCTTTGTTAATACTAGATGACTTTCAGTCCCAATTCCCCAATTTGAAGATTAAATTCATCTAAAGATGCAAGTCAGGTGTTATTTATCTAAAGATGCAAGTCAGCTGTTTTCTTTTCCCCTTGTACAATTCTTAGTATGCAAGAATGACTGCATTTGATGAATGAAAAATTGTTAGTTTCAGGAATCTTAGATAGAGACCGATTGATTTCATGTTTGGCTTATTTTAAAAGAATATATTCTTAGAAATAATATTTTTAGGAATGTTTGTTGTTATGTTTTTCATAAATTTATGCTAGAGAGGTAAAATCTAACTTTTGTGATTTGTGGTTAAAATAACAAATTAATTTTATTTGATCATTTAACATGAGTTTCACCTACTAAGACTTTACAGTTTTTGTTGTGCCATGTACTCGTGATATTCATTATGAGTTTCACCCCAAGAAAACTTAAGAGTGAATATTGCTACTTCGGAGACATTCATGCTCCAACATTTTCCCAAATTTATCAGTAAATAAGACCAACTTGTCGCAGGGAATATATAATACCAACTCCTAACAAAAACAGCTTGAAAATTTGCTAACAGAATAAGTAAACATACCTGCGCCATCATTAATGCCACGTAGACACCGGCCGTAAACGGATATAATGGACCTAGATCACCCGCTGGCCTAGTAGATCGGACACGCTCACCAACCTTCCACATCCTGGTTTGATCAATTTTCCCCATGGGAAAGGCAGGCAGACCCTCTTTCTCCTGTAAAATACAGGTACAGTTTAGATATTGCACAATGCCCAGCTCTAAATGGAAAGTGAATATGCACTTACATAAAAGCGACGTCCAGCCAAGACAACACTGCGAATCTCACTCCCAGCAGCAATATCCTCATAGCACTCGTACAAAATATCCATGCAGGGATAATATGAAGCACTATATGCTTTCTCAAATTCCCTTTTTCCATCTTCAGATAAAGCATTGTATACAGCTAACATGCCCTATACAGACAAAAAAAGAAGTTAATTCAGAAGCACAAATTCACATGCTCTGGGAAAAGCTTTGTTATTATGTTTCAGAGGTGCATAACAGTAACATTGCAAATGTGGAATGTAAGTATCTAAGCCTTGGGTTTTATTTCCAGGTGATTCTTGGGCTGAAACTTGAAATGTGAGGCATATCTTGTACCATATCACACTCATTCAGTATTAATAATATTTTTGTTTCTTTAAAATAAAACATAATCAGGGAAAAAGATCCAAAGGGACAAAATCACTAAAATGTGAGTATGAGATCACAACCTTAGTCGAGATGATTCTAGATATAGTTCCTGTAATGCTCTCAACAGTGTTGTTATATGCCAAATCTTCATTCATTCCATGTTCAGTGTACCTCCTAAACAAGGATTCCACAACACCATGAACAGCCCCAAGCAAAATGCCTATAAACCATAAAAGCAGAAATTAGGCAATAAGACGACTTCAAAGACAACATCAAGGAAGTAAGAGAAAGATTCTTGCCTCTCTCTCCAAAGATGTCACTCCTGTATTCCATCTCTAATGTAGTGGCAAATGTAAAAGGGGAACCAAGGGCAACGGACCATGCCAGAGCAACATCGGTAGCTCTGCCATCCACATCCTACAGAAAATAATTAATACAAATATAATGATTCCTAGCAGGAACAACAAAAGGAGGGAAGTAAAACGAGATGAAAATACACCACACCTGGTGGACTGCAAAACTTGAATTAATTCCAGCCCCATTTATCTCTTTGCCTTGGACATACAGTCTCCTTACAGAAGGACCCATACCTTTCGGGCATACAGCAATTACGCTGAAGTGCTTCGGAAAATCAAGTCCCATTGACTGTAAATGCCCAAGAAGAAAACCATGTGACAGCCCAAGTATGCTATTTGGCTTCATGTAGGAAAATATTTTTTCATAATTATCTGCCTGCATTGTGTGAATAAAAAAGAATTACAAAGACACCAAATATCAGGAAACTTCAAATCACTGCAGCATTAATTGAGCAACTAGTTCATTATTATTGTCAAATCAGCATAATTTGAAACATTAAGATATCACCACAATAACTTTAATACGTTATCAAAATTATTTACAAATAATTAAATGAGCACTCTCTTCAATTAACAACCTGTGCAGAATCAGAAATCAACAGCAACACAAGATCACTGCCTGAGATGGTTTCCCATATGTCACCCAGAGTTCCATTCTCCTCACTAAAACCAGCTGCACGAGCCTCACCAAAGGAACGAGAACCTTTCCTGAGGCCAACCTGCATTGCCAAAACATCATGTTAAATTAAAGGTTTAATCCTTTACTACATCCCTATTTATGTACGAATGTCTCAATTGGGTCCTCGTTTTTTAAAGTGTATCAAAATGGTCCTTAATTTTGAAAATTGATATCAATTGAGTCCATTCCGTTAAGTTGGCTGGACGGCGTTAAAAAAATTGATGAGTGGGATGCTGAGATGACAAACGAACGCTCGTCCACCAGCGAACGAACGCTCGGCGACCACTGAACGAACGGTCGTCCAGTGTGTAACGAACGGTCATCCAGCGGTAAGAGGTCGACGAGCGTTCGTTCAGTGGTGGACTAGCGTTCGTTCACTGGTGGACGAGCGTTCGTTCGTCATCTTAGCATCTCACTCATCAATTTTTTTAACGCCGTCCAGCCAACTTAACGGAAAGGACTCAATTGATATGAATTTTCAAAATTAAGAACCATTTTGATGCACTTTAAAAAACATTCGTACATTTGAGACATTCGTACATAAATAGGGATGTAGTAAAGGATTAAACCTAAATTAAACGCAGTTTCAACATCCAAGAGTGACCGATCAATTAAATCAATCCAGAATCACCTTAACCACAATATCAGACTTTGCATCAGCAAGAGAGTCCCGCAAATTCTGTGCCTGTGCAGGTCCCTGGTGAATGCAGTTAAAACAATCTCGTTAAACAAAAGTTATACACAGAGCTGAACGAATAAAAAGAATAATATAATCAAATAATAGTTTTAGTCTTTCAAAAAACTACTTTTGGGACTACTAGTCCCTACAATTATTCGAACCACGGTCACTTGAGAAAGCCGTCTGGCAGTGCTTCCAACAAGATTGACTACGGGAGAGAATTTCAATGTGGAAAAAACGATAATTTATTTTAATTTTCATATTATTTCATTTTTATTTAATTTGTATCAGCATTTTCAGAACTTTAAATTTTATTTGAGTTTAATAATATATTTTCACTGTCAATCCATCAGATGTCATATTTAACATATCACTACTCGCTATAAAATTCATCGATGTCTCTATATAAAACTTTAAAAAAAAAAGAAAAAAAGAAACCACTCTACATTATCATTAAACACATTATTTATTAAATTTCCAAAGTCCAAAACCAAAATTTACCGCTTACATGTTCATAAACGAACAAACTTATCGCTTATTAATTAATGAGGACATGTTAGGAGGTTAGGATAAGCTTTTATGTAAAACATCTTTAGAAAAAACAAAATAGATAAACTTCACTGTAAGCTACAACCACCTTAAACTAAACTTAAAATTTATATATGTTTAAAAATTAATTTATATAAACTAAAAATTAGTAAAATTTAACTTATAGTAAACCTTGTTTCCTTTTTTTTTTTTTTTCTTACAACTGTTTAGAAAAAATCTTCATCCAAACATGTCCTAAACCGTTTTCTACCTGCGAACCCCATCCGATGACACCAATCTGCCTAATCCCCTTGAAAGCAGCCGGCAGCAGAGGGAACAAGTCCCTCCCTCCTTTCACAATATACTGCATGCAACAAACCAATACCGAGGTCAATTCAGTTTTTCACTAAACTAACCAAATAAAATATTCAGAATAATTAACAATTAATTATTTAATTGGCGAGAAATTCTGAGCACAGCGGTGCAGAACCTCGTCGTGTCCGGCGAGGTTAATCTTCTCCTTCCGGAAAACGGAGGTTTCGAAGTCCAGCGAGGGTGGCGGGGCCACGGCGGGCGCGGCCACATTGCGAGCACCGAGCGCGGCCATGGAGAGGGGCCTGAATTGGAAGGCGAGCTTGGAAAATGCGCGTTTGGGAAGGGCGACGAAGGTTTTGGTGAGGACGGGCTTAGCGTAGAAGGTTCTGGAAGTGGCGCAGAGTGAAGTAGAAGAAGCGGTTGTCGACATTTTATAGGCCAGAAAAAATAAGTAAGAGCGGAGACGCTAACAATCGGCGCAGCAAAACGGTGTGTTTTATGCGCAGGGATTAGCGCCACACTCGGCTAACGTGCGCCGCGTCGACACGACACGACTCGCTCGCTGTGTTGTGCTGCGTTGTTTTGTTTTCTTATCTGCTACCTAGATTTTTTTATTTGTTTTCGTGGTTTGCAACCACACGTGTTATATGAATTTTTTTATATATATTTTATAAATAATAAATATGGTAACGTAATAAGTAACTATTCCGGTCTTTAGTACAGTTTGAGTATCTGTGATGCATATTTTTATGAGTGGATTCTACATAGACCAATTAAACAAGTGGGTATACTGTTTGTGATCATTATGCTTTTGACATTAAAACGATAAGAGTGGATATCCTTTTTACTTTATTAAAGCATATTTCATGATTTATTAGCGTATACTTCACAATTTATGTAGTATTTATAGCTTAGAATTAATGGTATTTTTATTTTTATCTCTATAGTAATAATTTAGTTTTTTATTATTTTCTATTTAATGTATTTTTATATTTTTCTAAAAAGTTCAATGTGGTATTTTTGTTAAATATTTTAGTGTCAATGTTTATGCTGAGAATAATAACTTGATATGCACTAATATAATTATTTACTTTTTAAAAATAATTACGAAATGACTTAATGATAAAGTTGAAAGAAATGGTACAAGATAATTTTAAATAGTTATCAATCAATTTTAGAGATAAATTTAAGTGTGTTTTTTTCAATTTCAAAAACAAAAGAAGAAAAATAACATTAGTTGATTTAATACGAAAGAAATCTTTTTAAAAAATATAAAATTACATTAAATAAAAAAGTTTAATCATTACTAGAAAAAAAATACTATTAAACTTATATTTTATAAAAAATTATATGATGGCACAATAATAAATAAGATAATATTTTTCTTATATTAATTGTATTTATAAGGTTTAATAGCCAATTTAGTCCCCACTTTGGTTGAAAAATCTCAATTTAGTCCCTCGTTATAAAAGTGTTTTAAATTAGTCCTAACTTTTAAAATAGTGGGTCAGATTGGTCCCTTTCGTTAAATATAAGTTAACGAAATTAATGGATGATGATGTGACACAGCTTAAAGATGATGTGTTAGATTGGTCCCTCGTTAGCTTTAAGTTGTGTCACATCATCATCCATTAATTTTGTTAACTTATATTTAAAAGAAAGGACCAATCTGACCCACTATTTTAAAAGTTAGGACTAATTCAAAACACTTTTATAACGAGGGACTAAATTGAGATTTTTCAACCAAAGTGAGGACTAAATTGGCTATTAAACCTATTTATAACGGTCTATAAAATGGACGTAATAATATTTTTGTAAATAAAAAAGAAAATTTTTTATACTGTTCAAATTATAACTAGTATAAAAAGTGGACACAGTGGTATTTTTGTACTGAATAAGAAATATTGATTTAATAATAATCGATATAGAAAGTGAACGTGATGACATTTTTGTAATTTTTTGTAATAAATAAGAAATTTTTTTACACTAATTCTAATTATAACCCGTATAGAAAATAGAAACAGTGTCACTTTTGTAATAAATAAGAAAAAGTTTTATATCGATTATAATTATAACATATAGAAAGTAGCTTCCTTTTTTTATTATTTGTAAACATGGGGTTCCTAAATCCTTTACTCTCATTTTCTTTATTGGAAGACTCACATCGACTACAGTAAGGTACATTTAGAGTATATAGTGGGTGCAAACATCACCTTAAAAGTTGGTTTTGTGGACTTAAATGAAGCTCAATGTCAAAGCTTATATCCAGATAATTGAGTATAGGGTTAATTGTATGTTTGTTTTTTATGAATTCTATTACCTTATAAATGTTGAACTAGTATTTGATATAATTCCATTATATTATGATGTTTATTTTTTAACACTAGCTTACCCTGTTTTTCTTTTCTTTTGTGTGTTACTTTTTTTTTTTGCAATGATCACCTTTCGATGTGAGCAAAGGATGAGTTATGTGCTGACATGTCTTTAGTGGAGGACGAGATGTTATAAAGTGATGGTTAAAGTTTTAGCTAGTTGGCTCTTTAATAGGTTTTATCTTATCTTTTGGAAAACTTATATAGTTCTTTTGTGTTCTTATACATATACTATATTATTATAGTTATTACAATGGATAATTTGTTAGTATAAAGATGAAGCTTAAAAGTTTTGATGATGTCTCAAAATCAAGTCTCGAGCGCTCAAGTTGTAAAAAGATTTTCATGAAGATTTGTTTTTATGTTAAAACCTTTGTAATTTAGTATAATTATGTATAGGGTGTTTTTTATCTTTGATTCCATGTATTGTGTGCTTTGAACTTTGTTTTAGGAATCAGAAAACTCTAAAAACTTATTTTTGGTCAGGAATAATTTATTACAAACTAATGATAATCGATTATCGATTATCCATAATCGAGTATGACTTATCATAGTCGATTATCACGACTAGCCGTTGGAGTTTTAGGCATGTTTTTAACCATTGTGCATTCATTAAATGCATAATCAATTACCATAAGTGGATAATCAATTATCACGCGTCAAATAGCTGACAATGAATTTTTGGAGATGTCCTTGAGTGAGGTATGTATAAAGATGTTTTAGACTCTCATTCTAACATACGCAACTACACTTGTTAAATTGGGTGAAGTGTGATCTAGGGTTTCTGTAACCCTTATGTTGTGGCTTTGAGAACTTGGTGTTTGCATAGAGCAAGAACTTTCACTAGGAGTGTGATCGAGTGTTGTTGTTGTTGTTGAGTGAAGTTTGTCATCCTTTGTGAAGATTCAAAGGAATTAGTGTTTATCCTTCGTGAAACCTTCAAAGGAGGTGTTCGTCTTTTGTGGTTTTCAGGGGAAGTGAGTATCATCTCTTAGCGTGACAAGAGAAGTGTTTTAAACCCTTAAACTTGTCTTTCTGTGTGATTGTAATAGTTTATTGGTTTTGTGATAGTGGAAGTTAATCTTTGTTTGGGATTAGCAACTAGACGTAGGATCCTTGGGATCTGAACCAGTATAAAAATACTTGTGCAAATCTCTCTTTTCCTATATTTTTTATTGTTGTTGATATTATTTGTTAAGTAAATTTTAGAAAGAGAAAAGAAAAATTATTTTCAAAGCACAAGAAATCATTTCACCACATCATCTCGATATTTGTCTAAATGCCCTAATCATTCCTCTACACCGCTCTAACATAATTGTATTAATATTTTATATATTTTTTATTATTTGTTGTACATTATCAAAATTTATAACATTTTATTTAATAGTTTTTATACTAAACAAAATATTACAATATTTAACTTTAATAGTTACTTTACGTGTGAAGATTTATTTCCTCTCAATTCTTGATTATGTGGAAAATTGAGAAAGATCCTAAAGCTTTTTGATGTTGTTATCACAATTACAATTTTGTTTGTAGTAGATTTTCGAAAATGGTTAGTGACAATAATTTTAGCCGGGACATCTAAGTGTAGGATTAAATAAATATAGGATTGTTGAAAGATTAGTTTAAAACTAATTGTTTATTTGCAAAAGTGTAAAATTTGAATATTTAAGTAGTTTATAGTGTAATACAATGAGATTAAAACTCATTATTTTGGTAGGGAAGCTATAAGGTTAATTTAGTAATAAAAATTGGAAATGAGAGCAAGAGAGGTCATAGGTTCAACTCTTTAACTTTAATTAAAAATGGTAAAATTATTTGTGTTTATAACTATTCGCATACAAATTCATGACAGATAGTTAGTATTCATGGATATTTATTATCTGTTGGGTAAAGAATATTTTAATATTTGTTTATAAATGGATCCGATACAATATTCTATTATCCGTATCTGTGAGTATTCATTACATGCAAAAAATTAAAATTAAATTTTAATTTATATTTTATTATGTTAAATTTAATTAAAATTAAAATTAAATTATATTTTATTATATTAAATTTAATTAAAATTAAATTTTAATTTATATTTAATTTAATTTGTATTATATTTTATATGTTTTTTTAATTTTATTTTAAATTTTTATAAAATATATTTTTTTAAAATATTTATAAATATTCATAGGTTTTAAAATACTTAAAATAGGATATAATTTTTTTATTACATATTAAATAACGAATAAGCATTATATTTATGTCCGACCTGACAAAAAATTAGTTTGATAAATAAATATTATATATCGTAACAAATATTATATTTATATATATTGTATCACTTACAAAATAATATGCCACTAACGTAAATACATGTACACATATGTGTTACTTAATCTTATACTTCATTAATTATTTTTGCAAAACTATTATTAATATAACATCCCAAATTTAGTAATATAAAACTACTAAATTGAACATTACATGTATAATGATAGAACAAAAACTATATATTAGGTGAATAAAAAATTTCGTCTTAAGAACAAAAATAACTATGTATACTATAAGCTTCACTCCTCACTTTCAGCTACACCAACTGAAAAGACTACATCCTTAAGCTCACACCATTGAGGTGATCATCGTGAAAGAGAAACAACATACAAAGACAAACCACAGAAAAGCAAGGGTAAGCGAGAGTATCAAAAGATTTTACATACTATTTAAAACAATAACAATATACATGCATATGATGAATCAAACAACACAACAACTTGTCCAATCCACTTGAAACACTTTTTACTATCCAGATAGATGCATTGATATCGGACTCATGGAGAACCTGCACCCGTGTATGGTGGAGCAACCTAGCTCAGAAATAATAATAATAATAACCACATTCTCAACCACCACCAATAAAACCATACACCAAGGTTAATCCGTCAAACATCTATGGCACTAACCGGTAACCATAGACTAGGATATCCTACTACTCTCTACGACATAATCACCCATCTCTACATGAAATGGGGTTATTAAGAGCATTACGATCATTCCCCAATCCAAGAGCCCCTACATCAATACATAGCATAACACAACCAACTTAGGATATTCCTCCTTGGAATTCCTTTCTCACATGATACTTGAAATCCACACCTCACACATTACTTGAACATCATCATAACATCACATCTTTGATCATAATCTCATACATATTTATACATCATTCACA